ATACACCCACCCGCTCTCTCAGGTCAGCTGATCAGCTGCTCCTGCATGTACCCAGGACTGGGCGTAAACTTCGTGATCGTGCTTTTGCTGTAGCAGCTCCCAAACTGTGGAGCGAGCTTCCTTTAGAGATCAGACAGGCCAGTTCTTTATCTGTTTTTAAGTCACTCTGGAAAACCCACCTTTTACCCTGACCTTTGACACCACGTGAGATGTTTTATTTTTATTTTAGTTGTTTTTAGGTGATTCGATGCTGTTTTATCTTGTTTTTGTTTTAATATAGGGCTGTTTTAATTTTATGTTTTATGTGTTTTATTTATTTATTTTGCTGTTTTCTGTTATTCTATTGTTTTAACTTATTATCTGTACAGCACTTTGTTCCTGTGCTGGGTATTTTAAAGTGCTTTATAAATAAAATTGGATTGGATTGGATTGGATTGTAAGGTAGACCCTACAATAATACATATGAAGAGTTTTACATTTTGCATTTTCCAAATATGAATTCATACCATCTGAATGACCTTGTATACTCTGTACATCAGATTATATGTACATATGTACATAGTACAGTCGTGGCAAAAAGTTTTGAGAATGACATAAATATTGGAAATTGGAAAAGTTGCTGCTTAATTTTTTTATAATAGCAATTTGCATACACTCCAGAATGTTATGAAGAGTGATCAGATGAATTGCATAGTCCTTCTTTGCCATGAAAATTACCGTAATTCCCGGACTACAGGCCGCGCCAGATTTTAAGCCGCATGCGTTTCACCTGTAATATGAGATATTTACACAGAAATATTGCACGTGAGGATTTTTAACGTTTAATTTAATCCGTAAGGTAATATAAACATGGTAACATACAAAAATACATACTGCAAATGCTTTTTTTCCTCGAACAGCGGCTGTAACACGGCTACCTGTAAGTATACGTACGTATCAGTAACACACAAATTACGTTGCTTATGGTTTTTTTACAGAACAACGCACAAACAATATTACAACGTCTCTTAACAACCAGTAAAAATATATACTGTATATATACTACTTATCAATTTTATTGGTCTACTGTTACCAGGCAAAACGTTTTTGGCCACATAAAAAAAAAAATGCCTTAGCCGCATGTCAGTATAAGCCGCAGCGTTCACAGCGTGGGAAAAAAGTAGCGGCTTATGGCCCGAAAACTACGGTAACTTAATCCCAAAAGAACCTTTCCACTGCATTTCATTGCTGTCATCAAAGGACCTTCTGAGATCATTTCAGTAATCGTCTTGTTAACTCAGGTGAGAATGTTGATGAGCACAAGGCTGAAGATCATTATGTCAGGCTGATTGGGTTAGACTGGCAGAGCTGACATGGTAAAAGGAGGGTGATGCTTGAAATCATTGTTCTTCCATTGTTAACCATGGTGACCTGCAAAGAAACACGTGCAGCCATCATTGCGTTGCATAAAAATGGCTTCACAGGCAAGGATATTGTGGCTACTAAGATTGCACCTAAATCAACAATTTAAAGGATCATCAAGAACGTCAAGGAAAGAGGTTAAATTCTTGTTAAGAAGGCTTCAGGGTGTCCAAGAAAGTCCAGGATCGTCTCCTAAAGAGGAGTCAGCTGTGGGATCAGAGTGCCGCCAGAGCAGAGCTTGCTCAGGAATGGCAGCAGGCAGGTGTGAGCGCATCTGCATGCACAGTGGGGCGAAGACTTTTGGAAGATGGCCTGGTGTCAAGAAGGGCAGCAAAGAAGCCATCAGGGACAGATTGATATTCTGCAGAAAGTATGGTGAATGGACCGCTGAGGACTGGGGCAAAGTCAGATTCTCCGATGAAGCCTCTTTCTGATTGTTTAGGGCATCTGGAAAAAGGCTTGTCCGGAGAAGAAAAGGTGAGCGCTACCATCAGTCCTGTGTCATGCCAACAGTAAAGCATCCTGAGACCATTCATGTGTGGGGTTGCTTCTC